CCTTGTCTGCATCATTGGTGCTGAGGTGGAGATGGTTGAGAGCGCCTGGTTTCTGGGAGTGATGATGATCAACAATCTGTCCTTTTCCCCCCACGTCAATGTGACAGCAAGAAAACACAACAACTGCCCTACTTCCTCCGGAGGCTAAGGAATTTGGCATGTCCACAAGGACTCATACCAATTTTTATAGATGTACTATAGAAAGCATCCTATCTGGATGTATCGTTGCATGGTATGGCGATTGCTGTTCCCAAAACCACAAGAAACTACAGAGAGCAATGAACGCAACTCGGTCCATCACGCAGCGTTCCATCTATTGACTCCATCTGTACTTCCTGCTGCCTTGGGAAAGCAACCAACATAATCAAAGATCCTTCCCACCCAGTTATACTCTCTTCCACCCTCTTCCATTGTGCAGAAGATGTAAACGTTTGAATATGTGTATGACAGTGAGGACAGTTCTACCTGTAAGTCAAGACAGTTTGAGTATGGAAGGGCAAAACTTGTTGGCGCAGGCTTGGAGGGCCGAAGGGTCTGTTCCTGTGCTGTATTGTTCTTTATTCTTTGAATAGATTAAAGAACAGCTTTTTCCCTGCCGCTAACAAACTTGAACTCACCTCTCAAATGTTAATTCTGATCTCCCTCTCTCTGTCTGTCTCTCTGTCTGTCTCTCTGACTCTCTCTCTCTCTCTGCACCTTCTCTGCAGCTGCTTCACTGTATTCTGCACTCTGTTCTGCCAACTAATGCACTTTGTATGTTACGATCTGCCTGTAGAACATGCAAAACAACACCTTCCACTGTACCTTGGTACATGTGATAGTAATAAATCAAGCAATGATTGAAGTGTTTTCCCTGTGAATGACAACAAGAGCTCATCCTGACTGATGAAGGCAAAGCCGGACAGAGGTGATTTTGGATGTCAGCACCTGAGGCATCTCATGAGAGAGAAACTGGCTCTATTAACACAAGTAGATGAATGATCTACTGTACTGTCCTGTGTATTCACTGCTTCCTATGTGTGTGGGTTACTGTGGTAATGTTGTCACTGCAGAGTACAGTCACGCAGGAGGTGGTTCATGTGTAATCTGTATCTCACTTCATTGCAACCACTAGTGTAACACCACGATGCACTGTCTCTCACACATCTACCAGGGATCAACAGTAAAACATAAAAGGAGCTACAACACTCGTAGCTCACACGCCATCAGGTCACTAACCTTTCATCAGAATAAGGAGAACGTACCCTTCTGATAGCTTATTCACTGAAAGTTATTAAATTTAAATTTCACCATCTCCCCATGAGACTAAAATATCAAGGGAGATGAGGTGTGTAAACTCCCTAAAAACCAGAACTGTGTCCAACGTTTCAGGACATGGTCAACAAGAAGAAATTGCCTGGTGTTAGTAACAAGCACACCACCGAAAAAACCTGTTCTATTCAGGAAGATATTGCCTGATCCAGAAATCTGGGTTACTTCAAGGACAGAAATTGCTTGTTTCATTTCTGGAATGTTGGTCAGCAGCAAATCCATTGGCAATGCAATAGCTTTACACAGTCCTCCTCCGCTGTTGGCTGAAGGAACTGATCTGTAAGAAGCAGATTCAGCACGGCACCATATGAGAAGGTCACCAGGTGCCACTGTGAGGAGTTGTTTCCAGTGTTGGTGCCTGTTGGCATCCTGCTGTAGCAATTGATCATTATGGCACATGCCAAGCCCAGGTAATATTCTCATATCCCACTGTGTTTGGCAAGTGTTTCCTGCATGTGAAAATGAATGTTTAGAGCTATTAGACTGGTGTTTGGAAGCATCCTTGAACCAGAGTTTCAGTAATCTAATGTTCTTCTGGCCCTGACTATTCTGAACTATCTCTCCACACAGAATATCCTTGGGAATGTAACCGTCTTCCTTTCTGCAAAACTGCCAGAGTCAACTCTACTTAATGAGTGTTGGCATACTTAGGAGATCTACCTTTGAACGAACTTTCACATTTGTGATTTTACCCTTCCATGAGATGCCAAGAACAGAAATAGGCTTTTTGGCCCCTCAGACCTGCTCCACCATTTGATAAGGGCACATCTGATCAGATTGTAGCCTCAACCCCACTTTCCACCTAGCCATCATACCCTTTGCCTTCTTTATTGGTGAAGAAACTACTGTCCTCAGCCTTAATAATATTCAATCACTCCCCAGACCCTCCCCCTGACCCCCCAGCCCACCACCATCGCTCCTTCTTCCTAACATCTGGTTTCAAGGTCAGGATGTCAGTCCACTTCATCTGGGCGGAAGTGATGTCATGGCACTCTTCTGGACTAGTAATCCAGACACCCAAATAATGTCTGGAGAAAAACCAAAGAACTGTGGATGCTGGAAATCAGAAACACAAACAGAAATGATAGTATAATGTAGGGTATGCAGGGTAGTTTGATCTTAATAGGATAATAGGTCAGCACAACATGGTGCTGTACTGTTCTATGTTCTAAATTGTTGGAAAGACTCAACAGGTTCCGGCAGCATCTCTGGAGAGAAAGCAGGATTAACGTTTCGGGTCTGGTGACCCTTCTTCAGAACTGAAGAATTTCTTGTCCACTTGCATGCCAAACAGCGTAAACAGCAAGTGATAGACAGAGCTACATGATCCCACAACCAACGGATCAGAAGCTCTGCAGTCCTGCCACATCCAGTCGTGAATGTTGGCAGACAGTTAAACAACTCACTGGAGGAGGAAGCTCCACAAATATCCCCATCCTTAATGATGGAAGAGCCCAGCACATCAGTGCAAAAGATGAGGCTGAAGCATTTGCAGCAATCTTTAGCCAGAAGTGCCGAGTGGATGATCCATCTCAGTGTCCTTTAGACAATCCCAGCATCACAGATACCAGTCTTCAGCCAATCCGAATCATTTCACATGATATTAAGAAATGGTTGCAAACACCACATAATGCAAAGATTACGAGACCCAAGAACATTCCAGAAATAGTGCTGAACATGTCTGTTCCAGAACTTGCTGCTCCCTTAGTCAAGCTCTTCCAGTACAGCTACAGCACTGGCATCTCCCCGACAATGTGGAAAATTTCCCAGGTGTGCCCTACACACAAAATGCAGGACAAGTCCAAAACCACCAATTATTACCATCAGTCTACTCTCGATGGAGTGCAAAGAAGATTTACAGATTGGCTCCTGGAATGACAGGAAAGACTGGATTAGTTAGGACTATATTCACTGGAGTTCAGAAGAATGAGGGGGATCTCTTATAAAATTCTAACAGGATTAGACAGGATCGATGGAGGAAGGATGTTCTCGATAACTGGGGAATCTAGAACCAAGGGGTCCCAGTCCAAAGGTAAGGGATAGGCCTTTTAGAAACGTTAACTCTGCTTTCTCCTCACAGATTTTGTCAGACCTGCTGAGTTTTTCCAGTAATGCCTGTTTTTGTTTCAGATTTCTAGCGTCCATGTGCTGGAAAATGGGACTAGAGCAGACAGGTACTTGATGACTGACAGGGACATGATGGGCTGAAGAGCCTCTTTCTATGCAGTAAAACCTTAACGACCTGATGACCTGGGTGTCCTTGTACATCAGTCATTGAAAGCAATTAGGAAAACAGCTGGTATGCTGCCCTTCATTGCAAGAGGGCTTAAGTACAGCAGAAGGAAGTCTTACTGTAGTGTACAGGGCCTTAGTGCTGAGTGTAATACATGTCTCCTCACATAAAAATAGACGTAGGGAGACATACAGGGAGTGCAGTGATTCCTAGGGTGACAAGTTTGTCTTACAAAAAGCAATTGGATCAACTGGGCCTTTGTAGTTGAATTTCTGTGTGTATATGATGAGCACAGCATCATCAGCATAACATTGTTTGGTATGGTGCTTCATTCTGTTAATCAACATTTCCCAATCTGTCACCATGTAAATAATATTCTGCCATTCTGTTTTCCTTCCAAAGTGAGCCACCCCATACTGATCCATGTTATGATGCACCTGTCATGCATTTTCTCAACGACTCGAGTTATCTAAATAACCATGAAACCTCTTTAAGTGCTCCTAAGCATTCACAATCCCTCCTAGTTCAACCAGGTCAACCTGTCCTCATAGGTCAAGCCGTATCAATATATGTAAATAAATATCTCCACTTACACTTTCCTCATATTACTGTTTAGTCCTGAAGTTACCTCCTTAAACCTTTCTGCCTCTTTCCTCCTTTCTAACTGTTCTTGTGACATTGCCACCACATCAGGGAGCCAGTATTTATTGTCTTTCCCTAGTTGCCCTTATGAAGCTGTGGTGAAATACCTTCTTGAGCCACTGAAGTCTATTTGGTGTAGGTAGGTATACAATCTTGTTAGGAGGGAGTTCAAGAATTTTGACCCAGTTACAGTGAAGTAATAGCAACATATTTCTTGTCAGGACGGTGATCCTCCTGGACGGGAGCATGCAGGTGATAGTGTTTCCATGCACCTGCTACCCTTGACCTTTTAGACGGTTGTGATTGTGGGTTAGGAAGGTGCTGTCTAAGGAGCCTCGGAGAATTTCTGCGATGCGTCTTGCTGATAGTACACATTGTTGCTGCTGAGTGTCTGTGGTGGATGTGCTGCCAGTCAGCCGATTGGAAAATAAATCTGGAATATAAAGCTAGCCTCAGTAAAAGTGGCGTGAAACTACTATCAATTGTCACTAAAAGCCATCTGGTTCGTTATGACGTTTAAGAGGGAAAAAAAAGTCTGTTGCCCTTACCTGGTCTGACCTAGAGCAATGTGTCTGACTCTGCTCTTACAGAAGGGGAGATGCCACAGGAATCTAAGTACTTTCCGCAGGGAGAAAGAAAGATTTGGAAGAGAGTTCCCAAGTGCTTACTGTCAGCTATTTCTTAACGTTAGCTTTCAGAGACCTGGAGTTAACTGTGGGCAAAGGCCAAGGGTGAATTTTGTTTTAAATTTAAAGTAACGAACACTATTTTAATTTGAGAGTTAAATTTACCTATTTCTGTGTTTTCCTTTCAGACCTCCAAGGCTTTTCCGATTTCCCCGAAGGTGAGTGGCTTAAAGAACTGGCGATGCTGTCTGTGTGCAAGGTGTTTCTGAGGCAGCTCCATTCTGACACTCGCTGCCACATGTGCAGAGCACTGCTCAGTACGCTGTGAATCTGATCAGCTGATGCTACTCTGGGCTGGCAACAACAGAAATAATCACATTAAGCTGCATCGTTCACTGTGAATGAAACCAAAATATGTGAAAGTACTCAGCGTGTCAGGCAGCATCTTGGAGAGAAATGCATAGTTAAATTTTACAGTTAGTGGTCTTTTATCAGAACTGGAATATTGAAATTGGGATTCAACCTGAAATGTTAACTTTTATTTCTCACCCCAGAAGCTGCCTGACCCACTGATTATTTTCAGCATTCTTGGTTTTTATTTTAGATTTCCAACATCTTCAGTATTTTGTATCTTGGAATTTTTGGCATAATAGTATAATGTCGGGATTTTGGGTGTCACCTATACCCAAGAAATGTGCTCCAGTTCTGTATCTACAAAGAATATGAAAGGTATCCAGAGAAGGCAGATTATGATTATACCACCCTATCCCCACTTTTGTATCCAATATTGTGTACAGAGATTTGGAGGTATTGAAGGCCAGGAACAGCATAATACTGCTGCATATTCCAAAAGATGTGCACATAAAAGCATGAAGACAGTGCATTTTTATTTTACTGTCCTTTATTCCACCTGCCTTTACCTTGACACCCACATCTAATTGCAAGAGAGGGGTAATGGAAACAAAATGGTATACTACTGTATTAATACCTCAGGAATGTGAGTTCTGTGCTTGCCAAAAGAATTTAAATTCAGTTAATTAAATAAATCCAGAATAAAAAGTTTATCAATAATGGCACCTTGAGACTACCAAATTATTGCAAGTACCTAATGTTCTTTAGGACTGTTTGACAGTCTTCCCCACACTGTATGTGTGATTCCAGACCCACAGCACAGCTCTCTAAAATAGCTTAGCAAGTCCCTCAGTTCTATTTAAGGAGGCAACTCAGAATGACACCATGAGGACAGTTAATGATGGTCATAAATGTTGACCTTGCCAGCAACACCAACATCACACAGATTATTTTCTGTTCAATAATAACCACAGTGGGTGCCTTAACCCTCAACTCCAAAACCACCCTTTTGCAAAATTGGTTAATTCAACATAGACAGTGATTGAGTCTGTATCCTCATTACAGCTCAGCTATTCACCACCTAAACCAACTTAGCTACCCAGATCTACAGTATCAGGAGTGAGATATTCATACTTTGAGCCTGACTCCTCCAGTATTTTAGCATCCCACTTTTCTGCCTCCTTCATATTCCTCAATACCCTCACCACATATTGACTTCCTTTTTAAACACTATGGTTGATTCAGTATGTGACTGTCTCATTCAAACTGCCCTGTATTTCTCTGTGTGACATTCTCGAAGAGCACAGTCGGTGGTCTGTGCTTGTATGGTTTGCAAACATATCATAGGAAGTTCAAGTCATGAAAAAGCATGCTAAAAATAGGACCGTCAACCTTTCTTCCTTGGGTGGATTCCACTGATACCAAGCAGAGCCAAATGCTGTCTGAAGGAAATTCCATCCTAGGCAGGATTCAGAGCTAGTAGTTGTACCTTTGCCAAGCTTTATGCCTAACCTAATAATAGTCTGATACACACAGTGGTTCCATCGCTAACATCTTTCATGGAAACTTGGAGCGAGTGGTCATAAATGTTGAAAGTCTGTTCTACAGCTGAGCAAGATCGATCCACACAGGGTGCCTCTATTTTAAGTGAGAAATCTGGTTTAAAAGCAAAGTTCTGTAGCAGCACTGGAACCTAGCTAAGGAAGAAATTGCGATTAAACTTGGGGTTTTAAAGTATGTCGAGTTTGGGAAAAGGGAGAGCCTGTTGGAGAGTGTCCGGTTCTGACAACAAATAAATTAATCTACATTTCAACGCTGTGAGTGTGGAGTCAAGAGGAAGGATTTTCTTTGGTATGTTTGGATGTTTGTCTTTTTGTTGTAACTTACCTCTTATTTCTCTGTGACTATCCTTTTTGGAAAGCAGGACTTCTGGGCTGGATTTTACAGGGCACGTAATCCTCATACCCAGCATAAGAAGTCAATGGGGTGCCTATCCAGGGGAAAACAACTTGCAGCACTGTTATTGAATGGTCAGATGGGCTGTTTATAGGCTGGAGGTGAGACAGAAATTCCTGTCTCGGAAAGGTGCTGACCAAAAAGCAGTTCTAGGGTCCCAGTACCACCAATCAGGAGGAGTGTCAGAACTGGTAGGACTGTAGGCGGTCCCCAGGGGAGAGCAGTGCTGAAACTGGACCATACAGTAAGTGGGGATATCTGTGGGATTAGATTGGCAAACCCCAGCAAGGAGGGGCTGAGAGGTCAGGTTTGAGAGGCTGGGGATGGGGAAGTACGATCTCAGTGAGGTGGGGGTGCTGCCACCAATGGGACTACGAGACTTACTGAACGTTTGCATGCCTGTTTAAAACCCTCCCAATTAGGTTTTATATTACCTGCCACAGCATCCAAAATCAAAAATGATATCCTGTGGGACTGTGACAACGGTAAACTTTCCCTCCTTGTCCTTTTTGACCTTTGATACAGTTGACCAATGATCCTGTTCTATCGCCCTCCATTGTCATCCAATACAGAGGATCAATAAAAGCATTCGCTCAGCATGCAGCTCTGCTTTGACAATTAAAGTGAAATATTGATATTATTTGATTGGCATCTTTGAGTATTTATAACAATTGTTCTTCCTGTGAATGCTTTTGATAGTGTCTATGTTGATTTAAAAATAGAAGATAGGAGCAGGAGTAGACAATATAGCCCTTCAAGCCTGCTGCACAACTCAGTTTCATCATGGCTGATCATCCAACTCAGTCCCCTCTATCCCATCACCAAGTCTCCCCTTATTTTCACACAAACCTTGACTATAGTAGTGTCTCAGTCAGAGTCCGGCACAAGAATGTCAGTATCTGTGACACTGTCAGTAACGATTCCCTGATTGGACCAGGTTAACAGCCCCAATCAGGGAACTCATATTCTATAAGGTCTACTGGCTGACCTCGTTACACCCACTACACACTCCATACCCTTTGATCCCTTTAGCATGAAGAACTGTATCCAACTTGTTCAAAATGTTCAATGTTTTGGCGTCATTCACCTTTTGTGGCAGAGAATTCCATAGGTTCACCACTGAAGAAATTGTGTTCCAGAGTTGATCCAAAATATCATTCCAGCATTTACCTGTCAAGTCCTCTTAGAATTTTATAGGTTTCAATGAGATTCCCTTCATTCTTCTAACCTCCAGTGGATATAGTCCTAATCTATCCAATCTCTTCTTATACGTCAGTCCTGCCATCCCAGCAATCAGTCTGGTAAACCTCCCTCCATAGCCAGAGTATCTTCCCTCAGATAAGGAGCCCCAAAGTGCCAACACCATACTCCAGATGTGGTCTCACTGAGACTCTGGCTCGGAGCCAGACATCCCTTCTCCTGTACTTGAATCATCTCATTACTATTTGCTTTTTTGACGGCCTGCTGCACCTGCATGCTTGGGCAAGATTAAGAGGCCTGAAGTCTTTCAAGACTCTGTTGTTCCTACTTTCATTTTCTGTCCTATTGACACGGTTATGGGGTTATGGGAACAGCAGTTTCTTTTTAAAAGAAGGTTTCAGAATATTTTTATCTCACACCAGCTCCACACTTGCCATTTCTATTATATAGCTCATTGATTACATGTTTACTGGATGAATGGACGTGCAAGGGGCACAAATTGGCATTGACCTGGTGTGGACTGTGAAGGGCCATTGAGGATTGGTTGTGAGGAAAGAGTTGGCACGGAGAGTATGAAGGTCCGTGGGAGTGACAGAGTGCTGAATTGGCATAAAACTGGCATGGACAATGTGTCTTGTACCATTTAAAATCCAGACTATGACTCTCCTGAGGGCATTGAACAATGAGTCATGGAATGTCTGGCCTGACTGCACAAAGGTTGCAGGGTGTAGGAAGAGTCTAGCCCTGCAATGGAGCAAGGGTGTGGAATCCCCACCGGCACCCTTATCATGTACCAGCGAAAATCAGGAATGGATGTCAGAGTCCTGGGATCTGGTCCTGTCTACCATTCCTGAATGGATCTGGAGTCATTCCTACTCTGAAAATCTGGGCCTTAGCCCTTATTGCAAGGGAGGTAGAATACAAAAGTTGGGAGTAAAACAGAAAATGCTGGGAATAGCCAGCAAGTCATGGCAACATCTGTGAAGAGAAAAACAGTGTTCACATTTTGATTCCAATAACACTTTAGAATGGGATGACTATTTTCTGCACATCCTGTTGTTATTTTAAATTTCCAGCTTCTGCAATATTTTGCTTCAACTTATATAAAAGTAGGGAAATTTTGCTACAGCTATGTGGGCCATTGGCGACCCTACATCTGGAATATTGTGTACAGTTTTGGTCTTTACTTAAGGAAGGATATGTTTGATTGGGAGTAGTTCAGACAAGGCATGCCAGTCTGATACTTGGGATTAAGGGTTGCCTTAATTGAGGAAAGATTCACCAAGTTGGGCCTATACTCATTGGTAGTTCAAAAAATGAGAGGCGATTGGTAGTTAGAAAAATGAGAGGTGATCTTATTAAAATGAATGAGTTATAGAAGTTTTATAGCATTGAAAGAGGCTCTTCAATCCATCATATCTGTGCCAGTCATCAAACATCCATCTCTTCTAATCCCATTTTGCAGCACTTGACTTATCGCCTTTTATGCTGTGACATTTCGTATGTCTTCCTAACTACTACTTAAACATCTTGAGGGTTCTTACATCTGCCACCCTTTCAGGCAGGGAGTTCCAGATATCCACAGCCCTCTGGGGGAGAAAACTATTTCCTCAAAATTCCCTCTAACCCTCCTCCTCACCTTAAAATGGTGCCTCCCGGTTATTGTCCCCTCTGTTAAGGCCAAGTGTTTCTGCCTATTTTTCCTGTCTATGCCCTTCAATCAAATTCCCACCCAACCTTCCCTGCAGATTAGTGTCAGAGCCCCTGCAAGCTCTTCTCTTGCCTCCCACAGTAGCCTGGAAGTTTATCCACTTTCCAGTTCACTACAACCGTTAATGCTTCCTCCCTCTCAATGCTAATTGTTTAAGTGTATCACAGTCCCCCTCTTTGATTTCTAGACCTACATTGTCCTTATCTGCAGCAAATACAGATGCAAAGAACTCATTTATAACCTCAGCTATGTGTTCCAGCTCCACACTCAGACAGCTACCTTGGTCCCTAATAGGCCCTACTCTTTCCCTGGTTACTCTTTTGCCCTTAACATACATATAAAATGCCTTTGGATTTTCTGCCAGTGTTTTTCCATTTCTCGTCTTCACTCTCCTTGTATCTTTTTCAAGCAACCCCTGCACATTCTATATTCCTCTAGGGCATCTGCTGTTTTGAGTCCTTAGTTGCTTCCATGAGCTTTTTATTTTCTTATCCAATCTTTGCCACCCAGAGGTCTCTGCACTTGTTGCTTCCACCCTTCACCTTTGTGGGAACATGTTGGTCCTATACTCTCATTGTGAATGTCTCCCTTTCAATGGCTCTTACTGCTCTGATGTGGGTTTTCCTGCAAGTAGCTGCTCCCAGTTCACTTTGGCCAAATCCTATTTAATCTTATTGAAATCGACCCTATTCCCAATTCAGAACCTGTATTTCTGATTTCATCTTTGTCCTTACCCATAATTACAAGGTTCTGAAGCGTTTGACAGGTTTATATAGAAACAACTCTTCCCTCAATGGGGAATCTTGGTCAAGGGAGCACATGGTCGTCCCATTTAAGACAAAGTTGAGGAGGAATGTGCTCTTTAAGGTTTGTTAACTTTTGGAATTTTCTACTCCAGAGAGCAGCGGAGGCAGAGTCATTGAAACTCTCCAGGGCTCAGTTTGATGGATTTCTAATAGTGTCATGCAGCATGGAAACAGACCCTTCGGTCCAACTAGTTCACACTGACCATCTTCCCAAACTAAACTAGTCCCACCTGCCTGTGTTGGCCCATATCCCTCCAAACCTTTCCTATTCATGTAATTATCCAAATGTCTTTTAAACATTGTAACTGTACCCAGATCCACCACTTCCTCTGGCAGTTCATACCACACAGAAACCATTTTCTGTGTAAAATAAGTTGCTTCTCATGTCCTTTTTAAAACATTTTCCGCTCGCCTTAAAAATATGCTCCCTAGTTTTGATCTCCCTCACCCTAGGGAAAAGAGCCTTGCTGTTCACCTTACCTATGTACCTCATGATTTCATAAACTTTAAGGTCCTACACTCCAGTAAGAAAGATCCCAGCCTATCCAGCCTCTCCTTATTACTCAAACCCTCCATTACTGGCAACATCCTAGTAAATCTTTTCTGAACCTCCTCCAATTTGATAGTATCCTTTCTATAGCAGGGTGACCAGAACTGTACACAGTACTCCAGGGCAACTCCAGTGGTTAGTACTGCTGCCTCATAGCGCCAGGGTCTCACTTCAATTCCACCCTCAGGTGACTGTGTGGAGTTTGCACATTCTCCCTGTGTCTGCGCGGGTTTCCTCTGGGTGCTCTGGTTTCCTCCCACAGTGCAGTGATGTGCAGTTTAGATGGATTGGCCATGCTAAATTGCCCATAGTGCCTAGGAATGTGCAGGCTAGATGGTTAGCCATGGAAAATGTAGGGTTAGAACATAGAACAGTACAGCGCAGTTAAGGCCCTTCAGCCCACGATATTGTGCCGACCTATTATCCTACTAAGATCAATCTACCCTGCATACCCTACATTTTACTATCCTCCATGTGCCTATCAAGAGTTGCTTAAAAGTCTCTGAGATATCTGATTCCACTACCACTGCCAGCAGCGCTTTCCACACGCCCTGTGTAAAGAACCTGCCTCTGACATCTCCCCTATACCTTCCTCCAATCACCTTAAAATTATACCCCCTCGGTAATAGTCATTTCCACCCTGGGAAAAAGTCTCCGACTATCAACTCTGTCTATGCCTCTCATCATTTTGTATACCTCTATCAAGTCACCTCTCCTCCTTCTTCGCTCCAATGAAAAAAGCCCTAGCTCCCTTAACCTTTCCTCATAAGACCTGTCCTCCAGTCCAGGGTAGCATCCTGGTAAATCTCCTCTGCACTCTCTCTAAAGCTTCCACAACTTTCCTATAATGAGGTGACCAGAACTGAACACAATATTCCAAGTGTGGTCTAACCAGGGTTTTATAGAGCTGCAGCATAACCGCACAACCGCACGTCTGTTAAACTCAATTCCCCTGCCAATGAAAGCCAACACACCATACGCCTTCTTTACACCCCTATCAACTTGGGTAGCAACTTTGAGGGATCTATGGTCATGGACTCCAAGATCCTTCTGTTCCTCCACACTGCCAAGAATCCTGCCATTAACCCTGTATTCTGCATTCAAATTCGACCTTCCAAAATGAATCACTTCACACTTTTCTGGGTTGAATTCCATCTGCCACTTCTTTGCCCAGCTCTGCATCCTGTCAATGTCCCATTGCAACCTACAACAGCCCTCCACACTATCCACAACTCCACCAACCTTCAGGGTTACAGGGATAGGGTAAGAGAGTGGGTCTGAGTGGGATGCTGTTTGGCGGTTTGGTGTGGACTCGATAGGCTGAATGGCCTGCTTCCACACTGTAGGGATTCTATGGTGAGAGACCTCACCAACGTCCTGTACAACCTCAACATGATGTCCCAACTCCTATACTCAAAGGTGTGAGCAATGAAGGCCAGTATGCTAAATGCCTTCTTAACCACCCTGTCCACCTGTGATGCAAATTTCACAGAATTATGTACCTGAACTCCTAGGTTCTCTCTGTTCTACAATATTACTCATCTAGATCTAGAAGAGTTCAGTGGGGTTGCTAGGTCTGTTGAGTTATCACCATGATTAGAGCAGCCATGATGTTACTGAATGGTACGGATCAGGCTCGATGGACTGAGTGACCTCCTGTTCATGCTCTTATTCCTGTTGAAGTAATGAAAACACTGAAGTATTCCTATTTCACACTGATCTCAACGATGTGCTTCTCCAGGCCCAACAGCAGATTACCCATAGAGCAATTATCACCAACTATCCCCACCATTCCATTCTTGATTCTGATTGTGGCCAGTTTAAAGGGGAATGGGGCCACAGTGATTGTGTAAAAGAAGTTAAAAAAGTTTTAAAAATCGCCTTCCTGTTGTGCTGTGAAAAGTACTAAAAGAAGGCCCTTAAAGTATTAGATTTACCCTACCTTTGATCTATTCCTCTTGAAAGACATTTGCTAACTTTATTGGTTAAGGTCACGTGGAGAAAATGACTGCTCCATCAGGTGTTGGAGAACTAAAGCTTTTGAAACTAGTATTCCAGACTCCAGATGGTGCTTTTCAAAAAAGATATGTGTGGGGTTCCTCATTGTGCAAAATAGTCTTGAAGGTCTAGGATCCAGATTAGATATCTGTTTTGTTTTTAGTTTAAATGAGCAAGTTGCCTGTTGTAACCTGTATATGATGTAATGATGCTGTTTCTGTTTCCAGTTATGCAGCTCTGATAGCTGACTGGCCAGTGGTGGTCCTAGGGATATGCACAGTACTCATTGTGATCTGTGCACTGGTTGGAATTCTGGTACCAGACCTCCCCGACTTCTCGGACCCACTGCTGGTGAGTGATTCTCCTGTCTTTCTGTAGTGACTGAAACTGCAGCGAATTCTGCAGATCACGGCAACCTAGTTCCCTTTCATGGAGGCGTCTCCCTTCTGTAAAGACTTGTGGCCAGAACTCAATGGTATGTCTTTTGTGTTACTGCTTCTTTGATGAGAGTCCAACTGTTGTAAATGATTTGACAGATTTGAAAGCAAACTGGTTCTGAATCTTGAAAATATCTCAATCTGTAGAACCAATTGTTCCCAACTTTTTCAGTGTCAAAGAACACTTCAATAAGACAAGCAATTCCACGGCGCACCCACTTTTTCCAGCTGAATTGATTACTCAGAAATGGCACATGTTTACTTATATTTAGTGTGCCGTAGTAGGAATGGAGACATTGACTGGTCAATGAGGTTTCCCCTTTGACCTCCTCACTCCCTGCTCACCATCCGTCCAGCTGCCCTTCACAACATGTGCCCATCTTAAACAAGTCACAGTCTGGCCCAGTCGCAGGGAGGAAGTCCAGTCACAGCTCTCCCCCGTGAAAGTATCTCTCTCCCCGAGAATGTGTTGACACGTTACTGAATTCAGCATGCATATGGGATTGTGTCTTTGCCTATAACTCCACGCCCAGGCAGTCCATGTTTGATGACCACTCTGGAGACCAGCTAACTCAACACACATCAGAGATCGAACTTGAGAATTTAGATAGAATTCACAACACTGAGACAACAAGAAAGTAAATAATGAGATGAGCTGAGAGGAACAGACACAATTTGATTCAGTCAAGATCAAATCACAATCACTGCTAGATGTGAGTTGAAAGACCTACAGTTCAACGTTCAACCCAGAGCAATTAAAACTCTATCTCCAGTTTCAGTAGCTAGATTGTGCTGCCTTGATGTATTTAGCAAGAGCTAGTGGCAGCTGAATAAACACTGAGGATTGTATTCTGTTAATCCAGTTGCTGTCAGCAATGCTGCTTGTTCAGATCATTGCTGGAACTTCACAGTTTCTCTTCGGGACGAGTGTTTATTCAAAGCTACTACTGTCAACCTTGCGGGAGTGATGTTAAATGGAGGTCACTCAATATTCCAAGATAGAATCCACTGCAAAACAGGAACCCTTGCAGAAATGAAAGCAGAAAGTGTTCGAGAAACTCAGCAGCTCTGGCAGCCTTTGTGGTGAGAGAAACAGAGTTAACATTTCTAGACTGACATGGCTTTCAGTTTTGAAATTCTGTTTCTCTCTTCATAGATGCTGCCAGGCCTGATGAGTTTCTCCAGCATTTTATTTTCATTACACATCTCCAGCGTCCGCAGTACTTTGTTTTAATTTGAGGGGCTCTTGTAGTGACGTGACCACCTTTAAAACTGCTAATCATGAGTTTAGCAGATAATCCTTCCTGTTAGCTTTTGTGGAAGGAGCTGGGCATAAATGGGACCCTGCTTTTATTCGCAAGCAGAGCATCTTGCTGCATTCAATCAAATCTCAATGCGCAAATTGTTTAAACAGATATGGAGAGCTTTTAGCAGGGCTGATGGACCAATCCCCAGGTTTACAATAATTAGCTAAAGAATCGGAAACTATCATGTAAGCAATGCATTGTTATGATGTGAATCCTCTGCCTGAAACAGGTTTAATAAGCAACTTTTCACGCAGAAGGAGGTGCGTGTGTGGAATGAGCTGCCAGAGGACTTGGTGTCATCTGGATAGGTACATGAATAGGAAGGGTTTAGAGGGATATGGGCCAAATGGCAAATGGGACTGAATTAATTTAGGATATCTGGTCAACATGGACGGGTTGGACTGAAGGGTCTGTTTCTGTGCTGTATGACTCTATAAGATGTTCTACAATTGGTTGAAGACCCACTGGATGTGCTATAGAAGGGAAGGGAAATCGACATAATCAGAACAGCCCTGTTTGTATGAGAATGGCATGAACCTCATAGGGTTTGAAGGTCATGCTGTCTGTCCATTCCACACTTATACTTCATGTAGATATCCACACAGGTTACAACAGCTCCCATTGGTCCGTGTTGGTACGAGTCCTTCCCCAACAATAGTTTGAATCCCATGTAACTCCTTCATCAAGTGGTACCTGGAGTGAGAAAGCAGAGGGCAGCAGGAGCATTGACACATCCTGAGGGAAGGAATGGATAAGAATACCCAGTATGGTGTGCCACAGTGGCACATGGGTTTGGACCTTTTTCGGGGGAAAGATGAAGCAAACGAATGAATAATAAAATGGTTAATGTACTGTTTTCAAATGTTTGCAGGGCTTTGAGCCAAGAGGAACAGCGATTGGCCAGAGATTGGTCACCTGGAACAACATGGTGAAAAACACAGGATATCAAGCCACACTTGCAAATTATCCTTTCAAATACGCAGAGGAACAAGCCAAAAGGTAAGTGACATACTGCTGTAAAACGATTGTGTAAAAATCTGTGAGTTCACACAGAGCAATGGGACCAAATTTTATTAAAACTGAGCAGAGTGCTTGAATTGGGGAATAACAATACACCACGTAATCACGGGGAAAGATCAGCAAAGCTAGACATTTATGGAGGGAGGTTTTACATCTATGGGGAAAATAACTAATTGACTGTGAAGCTTTTGAATTCTTTAATCATAGAATTCTGGAATGGTTACAGTACAGAATGATCCATTCAGCTCGTCATATTTATGCTGGCACTTAGAATGTACAATTCACTAGTGACTCCTTCCTGTTGCCTTGCACTTCCTTCCCTTTCAGATGATGGTCCAATTTCCTTTTGACTGTCTCAATTGAACCTCTGCCACACTCCCAGGCATTGTATTCCAGATCCTAACCACTTCAAAGGTCATAAGTTTCTTTATGTGTCACCACTGCTTCCTTAGCCAGTTACCTTAACCGTGTGTCTCTGGTTCTCAATATTCCCACCAATGGGAACGGTTTCTCCTTTGTTACTCTGTCCAGACCCTTTATGATTTTGAATACGCACACACAAACAAGGAACTGGAGCCATTCAATTCCTTGAGCTAGCTCCACCAACTGATAATTTCCTGACTAATTTCATTTAGACTGCAATTCTACTCTCTTGCCTATGCACCAAACCTTTAGATTCTTATTATCTGGAGATTCAATCTAACTTCACCTCAAAAATATTACAGTTATCAAATTATCAATTATCAAATTGCCAATCAACTTGCTTCAAAAGAAATAGTCCCATCTTCTCCAATCTACTGACATAACTCAAGTTTCTCATTCGTGGAACTATTTGTGCCAATCTTTTCTTTTCTTCAACTCTTTATAACACCTTCACATCCTTTTTAAAGTGTGGTGCCCATGAGGCTGAACCAATCTCTCATACAGTTTTACCACAGCTTTCTTGCTTTTTGTATTTTATTCCCCCATGAAGAGGCTTTATGCTTTAACTTGCCCTGCCACCTTCCATGACTTATGCGCATGTATACCATCTGCTCCTATTATGCCTTTTAAATTGTATCCTTTGCTTTACATTGTCTCTCCGTGGTCTTTCCACCAAAATGAATCATTAAATTTCACCCGTCACTGGTCTGTCTATTTCACAACCTATCCTATCCACCTCACAGTTTACAATACATCACGGTCATTAATGTAGTGCAAACAGAGCAGTGGTTCTAACACTTTTTCCAGTATGACAAACAACCATTAACTTTTTGCTTCTTTGCCCTCAACTAATTTTGTAACCATTCTGCTGCTGTCCCCTTTATTCCATGGGCTCTGATAGGCTCAAACCTGTTTTGTGGCACATTAGCAAATGCCTTTTGGACGTTTGTATATGCCACATCAATAACATTAACCTCAGCATCCTTATCCTTCCGCCTGGGCACCCTACAGCTTGGAGGACTCAACATTTGAGTTCTCCGATTTCAAATAACCTTGCCACCCATCCCTTGGCTCCCCTTCCAGCTCCACTTCCTCCCTTCCATTCCACCTACTGACCCTCCCTTCCAGCTGCCCACCGGATTCATCCCTCCCATTGACCAACCAGGTCGTACCTACCACCAGTGTCCAACTTTCACCACCCAGTTCGCCTCCACCCCATCTCCCTCCCACTCTTTATCTGCAGCTCTCCCTACCCCCACATCCAGTCCTGAAAAAGGGGAATACCCAAAATGTTGACTGCTCCTTTCCTCCAGTTGCTGTCTGGTCTGCTGTGTTCTTCCAGCCTCCTGTTTGTCTACCTTGGATTCCAGCATCTGCAGTCTTTTTTTGTCTCTATTCAAATCTGTTACCTCATCAAAAAACTCAAGCAAGATAGTAAACATCATTTGCCTTTAACAAGTTCACATTGTCTTCCTTTAATTAACCTGCATGTCAAATAACTATTTATTTGAAGAGCAATGAGTATTGGAAAATTCAGCAGGTTTGGGAGCATCTGTGGAGACGGAAACAGAGTTAACATTTTGATTACAATATGACCGCTCTTTGGGAGTATTAATTGACTGTTAGTTTTGTTCTGCATAACTGCATCTGTCATAAATGTCTTTGCTGAGCTTACCTTTACACCATTTTTTGAACAAGTGTTCTAATCCCAGCTGATATTACCACTGGACAGTCACATCCCAGGATGAAATCTGGCCTCATCAAACATGTGATATAACAAGGTGTGGAGCTGGA